ATGCAACTTTGTGATCGCAGAGGTCAGAAAAGTTTGTGGAATCCCCTGGATCTGCAGTTACAGCCACCTCTGGGAGCTGGGAACAAAATCTGAAGAACAGTCAGTTCTCTTAAAGGCTGAGCCATCTCTGCAGCTCCAAAAATAAATGTTAAGAAACACTGCTTTCAGCCATGTGGTGGTAATGTGGAGCCCTAAAGCTGCACTACCAGGATCCCAAGCTTGCAGAAGGACGCTTGCAGAGGGCAAGCAATGCAATTACAAGATTTTATTGGTCCAATGCACTGGGGCCACTTGCTCACGTAGAAGAATCGGTGGTGAACGCACTCAGGCAGAAGCCTATATACAGTTTGAACAAGTATATACAGGTGTTTTTAGCAATAAACTGGTCAGTTGGCGTTGGTGGGCTTTGTGGGACCCGCTAACGGGGAGCTATCTGCTGTCAGACGGCTCCATGTGTCTGATGACCCTGGGTTTTACTTGGAACTGTGCGTCTTCACCCTTTTTGGAAAGGGAGGGATCCTGTGGTTTATCTTCGGACCTTGTGGCCTCACCCTTCTGGGAAGGCAGGGGGTCAGGATGTAATTTTCCACTGACATGGACTTTACATGACATGGACTTTACAGTAGTGGTGCACGCCTTTAATCCCAGCACTCCAGAGGCAGAGGCAGGAAACTCTCCAAGTCTGAGGCAGGCCTGGTCTACAGAGTAAGTTCCAGGATAGCCAGCCTACACAAAGAAACCCTGACTCAAAACACCAGAAGAAAAAAGAAAAAGAAAAGAAAAAAAGCTCCTATATCCTGTAGACTAGACTTAACAGCCCTGTATAGGATTGTGAGGGGGTTACTTTGAGGAAAGGTTAATGTAGCTCAGGCTATCCTGGAACTTAACTGAGGCTGGCTACATGATCTTATGGTGAAGCTGATTCTTCTGCCTCAGCTTCCTAACTACTGGAATTTCAAGCAGCATTACTAAGATCTACCACTTCTGGCCCATGCCTTTAATCCCAGGACTTGGGAGGCAGAGGCAGGCAGATTTCTGAGTTCGAGGCCAGCCTGGTCTACAGAGTGAGTTCCAGGATAGCCAGGACTACACAGACAAACCTGTCTCAAAAAACCAAAAAACAAAAACAAAAACAAAAAAACAAAAAAAACTACCACTTCATTGCAGTATTAAAATATTCAAAAGATGTATTCAGGGGGCCAGAGAGACATGGGAGCAGTTAAGAGCAGCTGGCTGCTCTTCCAGGGGACTGAGGTTCGAGACCCACATAGTAGCTCACAACTGTCTGTATCTTCAGTCCCTGGGGAAGCTAAGGCCTTCCGGCCTCCACTGTGCATTGCACATGTGTAGTACAGAGACATACGTGCAGGAAAACACCCATACACATAAAAATATAAAAATATAAATAAATGAAAGAAAGAAAGAAAGAAAGAAAGAAAGAAAGAAAGAAAGAAAGATGTTCAAAGAGCCTTAAAAAGAGAGAAAGATAGAGGCTGGAAGGATGGTTAACAGCAGTGGCTGCTTTTCCAGAGGTCCTGAGTTCAATTCCCAGGAACCACATGGTGGCTCACAACCATCTGTCATGGGATCCAGTGTCCTGCAGTGTCTGAAGAGAACCACGGTGTACTCACATACATGCAATACTTATTTTTAAAAGATGGCGCAAACAAGACTATGCTTATTTTTGTTTAAGAAACTTTCCTTTTCCTGGTTTTCTCAGTATATTAATGTATGTGCCTATTCCTGGGTGACTGGGTGTGTAGAGGGGTCTAAGGAGGTGGAGGCCAGAGGACAATGTGTATAGTTATTTTTGCATGTCTTCTTTTTTTAAAGTTTTTTTTTTGACAGGGTTTCTCTGTGTAGCCCTGGCTGTTCTGGAAGTCACTCTGTAGACCTGACTGGCCACAAACTTAGAGAGTCACCCACCTCCACATCCTGAGTGCTGGAATTAAAGGCTTTTCTGCTGCCTGGCTAAGACAGGGTTTCCCTGTGTGGCCCTGGATGTCCTGGAACTAGCTTTGTAAACCAGGCTGGCCTGGATCTCACAGAAAACCACCTGCCTCTGCCTCCTGTGTTCTAGGATTAAAGGCAAGCACCACACTGCCTAACCACACCTGGCATTATCTTTTCTTTATTAATAATTTTATTCATGTACATTTCAAAAGATATTTTCCTTACTGGATTCCCCTTGGCAAATCCCCCATCCCATCTCCCCTCTCCTTTGCCTCTATGAGTGCTCACACTCCACCCACTCACCCACTCCTGCCTCACTGCTCTAGCATCCCCCTACATTGGGACATCAAACCTCCACAGGACCAAGGGCCTCTCCTCCCCTTGATGCCAGATAAGGCTACATATGTAGTTGGAGCCATGGATCCCTCCGCGTGTACTCCTTAGTTGCACACCTAGCATTTTCAATGTGTGGTCTGGGTTCAAACTCAGCAAGGCAAGCCTTTCACTGACTGGTCTATCTCTCCACCTCTGGCCTCCACCCCTGCCCCCAGCCTTATCCTGTAACTTTTTCCCTGTATTTTGTCTTGAGACAGGGTCTCATATAGAACAGCTGATCTTGAACTATGTCTGTTGAAGGTTCTTTAACTACTTTTGGAAATAAAGTAATAAAGAGACTAGTGACAACTAAGTAGTTTTAAATGTACAATCCTGCAGAGAGGGAACTCTGGCATACAGAAAAGGCATGAATGGCTAAGTGCTGACTTGGCACAATTTGACAGTGGTTTTTAAAAACCTAGAGAAATTCCAGTTCTCTTCTCCTATAGGCCTATAGAACTTGCATTTAGATCCCCCGTCTCATTGACCTAGGACAGAAGCCTCAGCCAGTAAAAAAATTTAGACTTGAGAGTGGCCCCTTCTGATTGCCGGCTTCCCTATATGATCCAGCTAAGTGACCAGGCCTACCACTTGTTACTTTCTGAAACAAGGAAGAGCTAACCCCTAGCCTGCTTGACCGCAATTCCAATGGACTCTAGTAGAACAAAGCAACCTGTGTCTTACACCCCTTTTCCTCCAACAGCTCCAGAGTTCTGAGAATTTTTCTCTGTCGGAGATTATAAAGTGGTTTCTAAGATTCATGACACAGGTTACAGGATAAGGTTGCTGTAACAGGTCCCAGGGAATCAAGGTGTGCTTTTACTCAAGATAGGTCTTGTTGATGAGATAGTTGCGATGTACAGACTTTCTCTTCCTGGGTGTCCTCTTCATTTATTTGTTCTGTCTGCCTAGCACCTCTGGGGAGGAGCTGTGGTGCTCTTCCAGAGAGGCTCCAGTTAATCAGAGTGCAAGGGACCACAAGCTCTACACAAGCAAGGACTTCACCCAAGGCTATCACTGGTCACTTCCCGGTATGTCCCCTACGGATGAAGACAAACCAACTCTGGAGGAGGAGACTGATTCTGGAACAGGGTGGAAATTGGGAACATGTGTCCTAGAAAGGTACTGATCTTGTGCAAGCAGCTGAAGTGGAACCTGGAAGCTCTGGGGAACTGGGATGTCGTGCTGAGCCTCGCCTTCCTGGCTATTGGTCACCTTTTTCACCCAAACCTTAGCGGATGCTGGCATGAATTTCCCCTCTCCAAGGCCAAGGCTAGGCCCTGGCCCCTGTCGGTTAAGTAGATGCTTCTGTGATTGAGTTCCAGGCTTGGAAGGAAGCAGGTTGGGCTACCCTGTATGTGTGCTGAAAGGTGCCTCCTGGGGCTTGGGGAAAGCCCTGACCCTACAGCTGGCCTGGTTGCCGTCTCCAGGTTCAGTGCTGCTCCAAAATGCAAGCCGTGACTCAGTGCTGCAGCAACTGAAGGAGGAGCTGGCCAAGCAGCAGCCTGACCTGTGAGTGGTGTGGACCAGTGTTACTACAGGCTTAGCCTAACGTGGTTGTCTAACATGCCCTGATCTGTACCTCGTGGGGTGTATGTGTGTGTGTGTGTGTGTGTGTGTGTGTGTGTGTGTGTGTGTATGTGTGTGTATGTGAAGACAACTTGAACAAATCCCTCTGCTTTTTAAAGAACATTCAACTGTATTCTTAGCTTGCATTAGGGGTGTTTGCAGAGCTGGGGCAGAGCTATGGCCAATGGCTATGGGGAGGGACTGTGGGAGGGGGATGGAAGGGGGATGGAAGGGAGAAGAGCACCCTTCTGCTGTCCCATTTTTCCACCTTGTTCATTGTTGGTTTTGTTTTGCTTTTCAGGCACTAATGGGGATGTTTCCAAAAGCTTCCTGAGTATGAAGGACCTAGCTGAGGTGAACAACTACTGGGCTCTGAACCTGACCTCCATGCTCTGCTTGACCTCCGTCACCCCATAATGCCTTCCCAGATAGCCCTGGCCTCAGCTAGACTGTGGTTACCATCTCATCTCTGGGTGCCCTTCAGCTCTTCAGGGGCTGGGGGCTGTGTTGGCAGGGAATGCTGATGTTGTACCAGGTTGTGGCTGTTGAGAAACCCAATGTGAGAGTGCTAAGCCATGCCAGGGGTGGGTGGCTGGTACTGATATTGCTGTCCCCAGACCTAGATGGTACCTTTCTGGAGGCTGGGCAAGGAAGAGAGTCTGATCTATACTTTTATTAAAGAATCAAAGACTATATAGCACCCCTCCCTCCAGTCAGGACTCCTCTCTTTGAAAGAAAATTACATACTCCCAAGAAGTGGAGGCAGTCAGGAGCAGAACTACTCAGCCTTAGGAGTTGCCCGATTAGCAGGTGGGATAAAACATCTATACACATAAAAATGATTAAAAATAATAATAAAAAACAAAACATCTTCTGTTTGATGGCAGCAGGCAGCAGCACAGGTTTCAGAGACAGTTCATGATGGTCTTCTTCATCCCCTTCCAGTGGTGTGACCAGCTACAAGGGGAAACTCAGCCTGCATCCTTAGGCTGGCCATCAGTAGTGAGCTCTTACTGAACGGTGGCAGCTTTCTGAATGATGGCCTCTTCCCGTTTGATGGTCTCTTCATTGGTAAGATTCTTTTCCTCCATGAGGGTCTCTTTCTACAACGTATCCCCAGAGGAGGAGCCTGTGAGGCTTCCACCCTTAGCTGCCTGCAGGGACCCACAGAGCTTCTCTTGGGGATTGCAGGAGGACATATTCCTGTCAGATTTATATGTGATGACTCTCTTGGTCCTTACAGTGCTAGGGTTCGGGGTGCCTGGGAAAACCTGTGCGGAAGTAGGTGGTAAACATGCCTCACTGTCCCTGATCATGGGGTATCTCATGACTTGGTGGATGGTGGGCCTCCTACCAGGGTTGATCATCAGCAGTTCAATGATGACGTTGGAAACATCACTGGAAACATGAGGAGGAATCTTGAAGTTAGCGGCAATAATCTGTTGCCTCACATCCACAGAAGACCTACCTCGAAAAGGCAAGTTCCCGGACACCATGAATAACAGGAGGACCCCTAAACTCCAGATATCCACAGGGAAGCCCTCATATTCCTTTTCTTGAAAGACTTCTGGGGCACAGTAGGGCAGTGTGCCACAGAAACCAGCCAGCTTCTGCCCAGGAATCACTTTAGCAGCCAGGCCAAAATCACACAGCTTGGCGTTTCCCCTGCAGTCGATCAAAATGTTGCTGGCCTTTATGTCTCTATGGACAATGTGATGGTCATGACAACACTGTACTGCACATACTATCTGGGAGAACATCCTTTGAGTCTCACTCTCCTCTAAAGTCCCCACCTGGAAGATGCGATCTTGTAGATCTCCCTCTGAGGCATACTCCATCACCAGGTAGGTGGTCTTTCTTTTCTGGACCACGTGAAGCAACCTGATAATGTTAGGATGGCTAAGTGATTTCATAATCCTGGCTTCCCTGCAGATGTGTGAGGCATACTTCTTGGTGTATTGAAGAATTTTTACAGCCACAGTGGTAGCTGTGGGGATGTGGAAGGCCCGTTTCACCACTGAAAAGTCTCCTTTGTCCAGAGTGTTTAGCATCTTATAGTTAGTGCTGAAGTTCTCCTCAGTTGAGTAGCAGTCCTTCAGACCCTGCTCCATCATCAGATCCTCCATGATTTGGCTAGAACCAAACTTGCAACAAGAAATTTAAAAAAAAAAAATTTTAAATCAGGCCAAAGAGAATTTTTACCGCTAAAAATTCCCACCTCCAAAAGACAAGAAAGAGGTCAGAAATATGTCAGACAACCTCGTCAGGTACTTTGAATGCTTGGGAAGAGAAGAACAGAGCACCTTCTAACGTAGTAGACATAAACTATGACATAGAAACAAAACAAAGGATCACAGACAGTAAGAGCTGCTCACTGTAAAAGATAACCATCCTCTCCTCTGGTCTCAGCACACACTGTGAGCCAATGCACCAAGAAAATCAGATTCTCGGAGTGGATAAGGCAACAGACACTCCAAAACCCTTAGTGTCCAGGCAGGGTAACCGGCTCTGGAGTCCACACTGTCTGTTACTCCTTCAGAGGACATGCATTTAGTTCTTAGGACCCAGGTCAGGTGGCCTACAAATGCCCTAAGTTCAGCTCTTACACTTTTTTACACTTCTGGCCTCTAAGGGCATCCATACAGCACACTCACAGGCACTACATGCCACTTAAAATAATACTGATACAAATCTGTCTATATAGTGTTATTTATGACCTTTGAAGGTCAGAAGAGGGCATCAGATTCTCAGCAAGTGGAACTACCGGCAGCTGTAGTGAGACTTCTGGTTTGTTTAAAAACCCAGCTATGGTACGTGAACATGTTATTGTTTTATTTCCAGGTGTGTGACAAGAGGCCCACAACCACCCAGAAAACCGCTCCAGTTCCTGAAAATCTGACTCCGTCTTCTGACCTCCACAGCAGGCACCAGGGAAGAGGTGTTCAGACATACATGGAGGCAAAATACTCATACACATAAATGAAACATAAAATATTCTAACTTATCAAACATAAAGAAATAGAAAGTAGAATGGAAGATAATAACAGGGAAAAGTAAACATATAAATCAAGCCAGTAAATACACAAACCATAATCAAAAAAAGCCCATCGGAGTCACCAAATTAGAGAAAAACTTACTGTTTCAGGATCCGAAGGTTCTGAAGTCGAGGCATCATCACTCAGCATCATCAAATTCCAGTTGCTTTCCAACCAACGTACAGGCCTTGTCCTGTAATGACAGGAGGCAGATTCAGCCAGAGCTAAACAGGTATCTATCCAGAGTGGACAGGTATATATCATTCCCCGCAATGGTTCCTGGTGAGGTCAGAGCAAGAAATGGACCAATGGTGTCTAGGCACAGCCCACTGGATTTCCTCACATTCTGTCTCGAAGGTCAGGAAGGATGATCCTGGTCAGGAGGACAGTACAAGACTAGTTACATTCAAATGTCTGTCCCCAGTGTTGCCCAATGACCCACTTCTTCCTGCTAGGCCCACTGCCCAAGGGCTATAAGCTCCTCCAAACGAATCAACCTGGAGAGAACAATGTTCAAACACTTGACACTCTGTGGAACATTTGACATCCTAAATTTAGCAAGGCCATTTTCCTTGTTAACATGTAGCCCTGGCTGTCCTGGAACTCACTCTGTAGACCAGGCTGGCCTCCAACTCAGAAATCCGCCTGCCTCTGCCTCCCAAGTGCTGGGATTAAAGGCATGTGCCACCACCACCTGGCTGTCCTTGAACTTTTTTCAGCTGCCCACTTCCACAGTTAGAATCAAAAGAATGGCATCTGAGCATTGCCTCTGCCCCTTGCATGGAGTCATGGCATTTGAACTGCCAGAAAGATCCTAAGAAAACCAGCTAGGAGGAAGCGTTCTGCTAAAGCACAGAGACACATTGGTGCCCTTGCTTAAGAGACCATCCAATACTGTCTGTCAGCTCCCTGAAGAGGAGGACTTGATGTGACTTGGCCTCTACTTGGAAAATAAGGGTGTGAACAAAAAAAGGGAAGCACTGAGGGACTTGGAAGGGGCAGCAAGAGAAGGTATGATCAGGGAGGGGAAAGTGATCAAAGTTCTTCATCTACATGTATGGAAATACCACTGTGAGAAGGATCACGTTGTGTAGTTGATATAAAACTAATGTTCCAAAGTAGTAAGGAATGGAGCCATGTAAAATAGGACATTTTTAAAAACAAAGTCGAAAAACTAAATAACAAAGAAAATTTCTCCCAATCACATTTCAAACCAAGAAAGGACTGGAAGAGAGAATTAGTTTAAATGCAGAAGACAGAAACCTCCAAACTGAAACACAGGCATTTAGGAGAAAACTCACTATGTTCAGATTCAACAATATACAAAGATCCAAAGCACAGTGGCTCACCAGCCTAGAAATCCAAACGCTCTCCACCAACAGATGCTTCACTCACTGTAAGGACCGGAGGCAGCCTCAGCCAGTGCTATAACTGGGCAAGCCAATGGTTTGCAATGGTTCCTTTTGAGGTCAGAGCTGAAATGGACCAATGATGACAGGACACAAACCACTAGGTTTCTTTCACATTCTGTTCTCAGGACAGGAAAGGCTGGTTAGGGGACAGTAAAGACCTGAAGATTACACCCAGTTAGGATTGTAAACAAAGTTAGCCTGGCTCTCGGTTAGGCTAAGGCTAGAAACCTGGAGACCCTACAGCGACAGTAAGAACTTTGCCTATACCAGGCACCGGGCCCCTGTCACTAGCTACAGCCCCCCATATATTTGTGTCCATCAGTCAAGTAAGAGCAATGCCCCAAGCCCTTCCACGTGTAGTGACCAAGACAATAGGGAAAGAGACATGTCTTAGGCTCAAGACAGATCTCCATTCTAACAAGGTACCTTGAGGCCTAGAGGGCTTAGCCAATAAGCTTTCCTTCCCAGACATTCCTCTCTGCAAAAGGTATTTAATCTCAGGCCCACCCTGAAAAGTGGGGTACGGTTTTACACATCTACTTTCTGCCATGACAACAAATTCTTGAAAACCATGAACTGCCTCTTTTTATCAGGATCTGCTGTGGAGAGCTATAAAGATGGCCCCTGGCTACAGAGTCACTGTCTAATCTCCTGTAGCAGGCCTATCTCCATTCTCCACCACAACCGCCACCAAGCCAAGTCTTCCACTATCAAGCCAAGAACTCTTCCCATGGGACCAGCCAGAGCTCCCTCCTTTCCCACCCCCCACCCCTGGCCCAGGGCTAGATCCAGCCAGTGGGCCCAGATTCCATTCTCAGCTCTTCCACGACTTCCAGAGGCACCTGGAAACTCCATGGCCTTAGTCTCTTTGTAGGCCCAGGTACACCCGAGCCAGCTCTGACTGCTCCACACCTCAGACTGAACTTTTCCACCCCCAAGTGGTGTCCTACAGCCCAATACCCACCAATGGCATGGGACAAGTACAAACTCCCCTTCTCTTGCCTCCCAAAGTGATTGAGCCCCGTATTGGAGTGGACACAGAACTCACAACCCTACACCCTATGACCAACTTCTATCTGCCAGGCTATATTTTCCAGATTTTTGGCAACTGGACTAACAGGGCCACATGCTAGGGATCAATGTTCAAACACATGACCCTTTCTTGGATAGTTGATATCTGTATTATTTGTGGTTCTCTAGAGCCACAGAATAGATGGGATGTCTTTCTATATTGAGGTAATTCATTATGATGACTTACAGTCTGTAGTCCAACTCCCCAACAATGGTCAGCTGTTAATTGGAAATCCAAGAATCTTGTAATGGCTCAGTCCCACAAAGCTACTTGTTTCAGCTGGCTTTCTGTAGAAGTAGGTTCCAACAGATGTGTTGGCAAGTAAGTGCAAGTGGCAAAAAAGAGTGACTCTTCCTTCTTCCAATCTCCTTATGTAGGTCTCCCGCAGAAGGTTAAAGATGTATAGCACCACACCTGTATCTGGGATTTGTTTTGTTCCAGGCTGATCTTGAACTCAGAGATCTCATTGCCTTAGTCACCTGGGTTTAAATGCCTGTACTACCTTGCCTGGGTCTAAGCTTTTCATAGCCACTTTGCCTCAAGATCTCCATGCCAAGATCCAGGTCAGAAACTTGTGTCTTCCAGCCTCAAGACCTGGATCACACAGGTGAGCCCTCCAATTCTGGATTGTAGTTCATTCCAGATATAGGCAAGTTGACAACCAGGAATAGATATTAAAATATCCAAACCCCAATACAGACCCTTTCTAATTTCATAATACTAAGTGGAATCATCTGAGTTACAGCAGGCTGCAGACTGCTCTCCTTCGAGGGGTATGCACACTGTATTCATGTGCTTTCTCTTGCTGGGATTAAAAACACCACAAAGAAATGCAACTTGGGGAAGAAAGGGTTTATCTGGATTTCACTTCCTAATCATAGCCTCCCACGAGTAGAAGTCAGGGCAGGGACTCAAGACAGGACCTTGAGGCAAGAACTGAGGGAGATGCCATGGAGTAAAGCTGCTTTCTGGCTTGTTCTCCCTGACTGAGCCTGCTTATATATACACATATATACAGCCATGACCTCATACCCACGGGCATCAATTAATCATGGTGCTCCCCCATAGAATTACCTACAAGCCAATTAAGTCCCTTCTTCCCCAGATTTCTCTAGCTTGTGTCAAGTTGACAAAAAAAAAAAACTAATTGGCACAGGCTAACAATCATATATTAGTAGATGTATAACACGGTTCACTTTTCACTTGGACACAAACATTCTTTAATAAGTGTTAGTTTATAGAACCTGCCTCATTCATACTCAAGAAAATATGTTCCATTTTTTTTAGATTCAGAATAATAAGAATAAAATATAGTTTCTGACTGACACTGGGATGTTGTGACACAACGCTCTGTTTTCCAGGACATTCCAGGGTGACCATGGGGCTAAGAAGAGGAGACTTTGCCACATCTTCTCCAAAAATTGTTCACCCAGTTTCTCACCACACAGAATGTTGGAATCCAGAAGATACCGTGTTGATATGCTCAAAATGATAAAGAAAAAAAACTGTCCAATGGTTATCCTGGAATCCTCACCCCTGTGAGAGAGGCACACATAGAGTATTGTCAATGAAACCTGCTATTCCAGGCAACATTTTAGGAAAGTAGA